ATGTTGATGTGATAGATAACGGTCATATTTTTCATTTTAATGAGATAAAAATGTGGCCCAAACGAGGGCTAAGACAAGAAAATGGGCCCATTACGTGGAAGATTATTCAACTGATTTTTATTTTTTTCAAACCGAACAGATTGATAGCAGAGTGTAGGGACTTTGGGTGCGCGGGTAGGTTCAATACCCTTGCAACGGCAACAGGAGGCAGGACAACCATTTTGAGTTAGGGGGACAATCAGGGGTGGAGTCAGGGATTTTGTCGAGCGTTGACACAATTTTAGGTATTAGCTACAGTGATTTTTTTGGCTAAATTTAATCTAAGAACAAAAAAAAAGCTTCATGTGATCTTGAGAAATCCTGGTGCATAAGGAAACATGAGATTTTGAACTAAAGTGAAATTTTTTACATCACAAAACTACTGTAACTTTGATTCAATATTCATATAAAGATAGAGATAAATTCTTCAAAAAGTTTGAAGGTTTGAGATTGGAATAAAATGTAAAGATAATTTGTGATTAATTCAGATATGAGCTTTGATTGTGGAGATGCAATGATTTGAATGGAGTAGACTCCCACTATATCATTTAAAATTAAATAGGGCATTTTGATCCAACCAATATATTGTTTTCTTCCAACGTAATAATACAATTATATACACATACAAAATTTAAACCCCAAACAAAATAGAACTTTATTTAAGAAATAAACTTACACAAATTTTTTTTTTTTATCTCAATTGTGTAAATAACTCCACGCATACACATCACTCAATTATCAATTATCTCCACTCAATATCTTCACACACTTGTGCACTCTCTCTCTCTTACTTTTACACACATATATGTGTGCGCCTCTATCTCTGTGTCTGTGCTCACATTCATTCACTTACGTACACAGCCAACACGTGTGTGTATTATATATAAGTTGAGAGCATATCAAATACTCTCTATTTTTCTATCATTTGGAGAGCATTTATAATTAGAAAGTTAAAATTTTGAATTATTCCAACAAATTCTTTATATTTAACACTTAATTTTACTACTCCCAGAAAATATTTATTATTTTTTTTATCTTTTCTTTAGATTA